GCGCTTTTCCTTCCTCGAGGGTGTTTAACTTCTGAAATAATTTAAGACGAAACCGGCCCGGCTCCAGGAGCTGCCTTTCCGCTGGACGCCCCGCCTGGGGACCCCGCTACACTCCCCGGGAGGAGCCGCGTTGGCCGGGACCCGTGTCCGGGAGCAGGAGCTCGCCAGCCCGAGCCGCGGAGCTGACCCGGACCTCGGGTGCCAGACTTTAAAAGTTCTCAGCGTGTATGGATTCTGAGAGAACTTGAGACCAACTTCTGCTAAACTCTGTGATCCAGGGGTTCAGAAACACGGGATCAGAAGGGAGCTGTTCTGGCTGCTTTACTCTGGATGTTTTGTATTTTTGCCATTTTTTTTCAACATGTCTGAATTCATCAGTTTCCATAGTTTCTATCAGCTCTAAATTAGAAAATATCTGAAGTTATCTTGCTGCTTGCAGACTATGACTAGCAGTTTGACGACTTACGTGAAAGAACTGTATTCCTTATAGGCCCAAATGACATGTTGCTGTGCCCTTTGCTGACTTCTGTCGTCTCAGTAGGAAACTGTATTGGAATGCAGAAACCTCAACTCAAGACATAAAAAAAAGTGACTGGTTTCAAATCTTTTAAAGAGAACCCATCTGCTCATTTTGAGAGGCTCTTTTCATATTTACGAGGAGAGGTTTATCCAGATGTGCCCTGTCCTGTTCCAGAAATGCAGATATCATTTGCATCTTATTGTGTGACATGACATTAATGGTCAGTATCCCAAAGTACACGAATGAATTTGTAGAATGAAGATGACGTTGAAATATTAGTACAGTTATTCATTTAAAAAGAACTAGAAAAGAATGTCTTGCTCCTTTAAATTCCACCACTCTGAAGTTAAATTCCTTCTTCAGTGGTCATACAGTGATGCAGGAAACACTGTGATAGGCAAGCAATCATGTGGGTATTATGCCCTTTAAGATAAAAAATGAGACAAAGCATCCCCGTTAAAGAATCTGTGATCTAAGGACCTGGGCGAGGATTTGAGTTTCTGCTTACCCAGCGCTTTCTGCCGCAGTAGTCTCAGCAAGAAGAGGTGACATTAACACAGGGGTTGGATGGCAGAGAAGCATACGGGGATTGTTGGCTGTTCAGATAACACAGAGGCGGAACTACTGAATTCTGTCTTTTGGGCCTTCATTGACTAAAGTCACCATCCTTAGTTGTTGGAACTTGTCAGTATCTTTCAGTCTACCTTTCAGCTAAACCTCCTCCTTAACATAGTATACAGGACTCTCTCCTCAGCTTCCAAATTCTTGTGAAAACCCACTTTGTCTGAGACGCCCACGCTTTTCCCCGTACACATGCTTCGTGCAGTTCCCTCTGCCGGTCACATTGTGTGTCAGAGAGGAGGCATCACGAGGGATGTTCCTGCAGGTCTGCCATTTTGTATAGGCACTTAGGAAAAAAACTCGATTAAAAGCAGGAATAAAAAAAGATGGAAATTACTCCCTAACTTTTTCATTTTCAAGTTTAGGTACAAAATCAGTTGATGAAGTTTTGCTTTGCTGTATATGGCTTATCTCATTTTAGTCTGCAGTTACAGACAGTGTTTTAAACCAGAAAGTTTGCAGTTTCATTAGGGCTGTGGGTTAGCTTCATTTTCATCAACATGTGGAGATCTTTCCTCCTATGGGGGAGATATTTTTGCTCTGCTGTCTGCTGATTCATACGTGCTTATGTGATACAGGATTCTTTGCCAAAGTTTTGAGAGTTTCCTGGAACTCCAGTCATGCGACAGTATTACTTAACAGTGGACTGGAAAGCAAGCACTTCCTCTCTTGAGAATTCCTGGGAAAAGGAGGAAAAGAAGGAGGATTTTTTTCATGCTGGAGCAGTTTGCCTTTTTTTTTTTTTTTTCTCTGAGAAGCAGCAAAGGCACTCGTGTTCCTTTCAAAAAAGTTATTACTGTGCTCAGTCATGTTTTGTTGTTCCCAAAATGTGAAAAGCTCAGCTCTTGAGTAATAGTTTTATTGAGCATTTATGAGAAATTTGTCTTTCAAGTATGTCCTTTATCAGTGGAAGAGCAGTAGCTGCCTCAGAGAAGGTCACAAAAGAGTTTCCAGTCTAATCTTCCATTTTCTATTGCTACATTTCACAACAGTTTGATTTAAGTAGATATATTTATCAATAAAAGGGGTGGTGGTCTTTATTTAAAAAGTGATTTTCCTGTCCCTTACGCAACAGAGCAGGAGTCTGTCTGTTGCCTACCTTGTGTTTATTCTATTTGAGTATTTGACAATAAATATTCAGCTTGAGAATCTTCCTGGTTTTAGAGAGGAGCAATTTGAGGGGATGTGGCTTTGGCAGCATGCCTCTGAGGCTGAACACCCTTATATGTGTACAGTGCCTACTCGCATACTTACAAAAACTCGTTAATTTTTTCCTAAGCTAATCACTTAACAGGGATATACTGCAGTGAGTGGCTGATCTCTTGCCAGTTCCTTTTGTCTTGTGTGCTGGCGAAACTCAAATCTGTCAGAAACGTCAGAGGTTGTTCTGCTGCTGTAGTTGGAGCAGAACAAACACGTTTCAGTGGTATCTTCTATTCCAAAATGTAACAAAACTTCTGCAGAAAGTCCAACACCACTCTCCTGCTTACCCTTTTAATATCCCACATCCTAGCAGCTTTGTTTTTCTAGTAGCTAAGAGAGGAGGTCCACTGCCAACGCCAGTTTAGTGTCTTTGTAATTAGAACTTCGCAGGAAAGTCTTCTGGTTCATTGTATTATCCTCATTCCTCTATACTTCTCGTTGTTCCATGAGCAAGCTTTAGGGGAATCGGGCCCTGCAGGGGATCTGAATCCTGACAGCCAGCAGACAGGTGGGAAGAACTACACCCTAACCTGAACTGGGACACTGCTGTAAGCTTACAGTAATGTTTTGTGTTGGCAGAATTTCAGCAGAGCTTGTTGTACTGAACCTGCCCAGTGTCAGTGATGGCAAGGCTCCCAAGTGCTGCACCGCATCCCCTCTGGATCCTTTTCTTTTCATATACAACAAATGAAGGTACGTTTGTCAATGTTTTGAATTATTATACCAACTGTACAATGGTTTGAATGATTATACTATTTAAATTATATAAGTTTTGTTCAACAGCATTTTTCTGTGACTAGTAGGCAACACTATACTGTTAATTAACTAATATAAAATGTGTAACTTCAAATGTCAGAAATATCTGTATACTCAAATAAATTCTTTGATTGTTTTTCTTTTTATTGATCTTTTCCATATGGGCAAGTTTGATTTAAGTGGATATATTTATCAATAAAAGGTGTGGTCATCTTTATTAAAAAAGTTCTTTTCCTTTTCCATATGGGCAAGGAATTTGCAGGAAGGAGAAACTGAGGTTTGGAAAGTCGTCTCCCTGCTTCCTTATTATCTAATCTCTGCTGGACACCCCGCTGCAAACAGAGTGCTCAGCAGCAACCCCGGGACATCTCTGCAGAAACCCCAGAAGAGCAGAAAGCAATAATCTCTCATTTGCTTATTTTCGTAACTGCCGCTGTTGGCTACTTCATCTTGAATTTGCAATGTAAATGACAAGAATGGAGAGTTAGTAATGTGCTGGGCCGAGTAAACAAAATTGGCCCTTATATACTTGCTGTAGCAAACCTTCTAGCAGAATCCCTTAGGAAATTATCAGAAAAATATCTGTTAATAGGATTCTAGAAACCAGACAAAGCTATTCTAAATTTTTACGGGGAGTTGAGATGTGGAGCGGGAGAGAAGGATTTAGATCTGTACAACTTGTGTAAGAAAAGGGAGAGATTCTTAATATTTACTCATAACAGAGAAGTCAAACATCAAAGCAGGCAAAGAATTGTCTGGGATGATAAAAATATTAGCTATTTCTGACTGCTTCACTTGGAAATGGTCACATTCATTCCAATACCACGTTTGGCACTCTCAGTCCTGATAACAGCGTGACCTTACTGTCACGTAGCTGCTCCTCTGTTCCTTGTTTTACTCGTGGAGTTCATGGAAATAATGGAAAATGAGGCTGGTAGGCACACTAAGGACTGTGTATTCTGTATCCCTTTCCAGTTCTAACAGAGGTATTTTGACCGATGTTCTGTTTTCTTCTTAAATACTACCACTGCAAAGAGATTGTAAACACGGACATTGAGACTTCAGGCTTTTCTGTACCCTCTCAGTGCCTGCAGCAACGTGACTAAATCTCTCCAGGTCTCTGAACACTGTCATAACAATGAAAAGTAGAAGACAGAACAGGAAATACTGAGTGAAATTAGGAAAGGGTGTATACCAGAAGAAAGCCTGTGACAGGAGTTTCTTCCAGGCAACGGGGAACTGCTCTGGGGAGGCAGGGGACTGCATTTGGGAAGCTTGGAACCATTGTAGATAAAGTACGAGTACCTGCCTGTAGGCAGGGATCTTGGTCTGAATCTGTTAAATTATCTGCATTTTGGCTTTTGAACCTTTTGTATTGAACACGTAGGATGATGTTTTATAAGTAAACGTTGATGTGTTTTAGGTAGAGCTATCAGAATCAGATTTTCTATGCTTGGAAGACTGTGTTGGATGAGTTGTGCCTTTCTGTTTCAATATTACTGCTGCAGACCTCCTTCCTCTCTATGACCACAGACGTTGTCTCCAGAAAGATGGAGACATTTGATGACAGGCAACTCTTTCCATTTACGTAGAACACAAAAAATAACAGTGCTTTCAGCTATCTTATAGGGGGTTGGTAGCTCTATTCAGATGGAAAAGTTAATGTTTCTGCTTAGTCCGATTTATTTCTTTGATTTTCTTCCCTCTGATTGTGTGCTGCTTCTCCCTAGTTGTGGCTGCAGGACGTGTGCAGGAATTTGCATGCTTCACTGACTATGACAAAGAGCTGGTTTGTCACTGGAAGGTGTCTGCACAAACAAATTGCTCCAAAGAATTCCTGCTCTACTACAGGAAGGAATTTTTTTTCTTGCCGTAAGTGTTTAGTAAGATGTTACATTATCCTTGTCGGAACTTCATATATCCTGTCGCCATTATCAGCTTTGATTCCCTTCCGCTACTGTGGGTGTCTGGGACTAAGTGTAATCCAAGTTGTTCTTGCCAGGAGGAAAATGGGTTGGTGCCATTAAGAGCACGCTCTGTTCAGTGGTCTGTTCTTCTGCAGAGCTCTCTGCACTCTTAGTACAGAGGAGTGATCAAGTCCTACTTGTAGGCATGGTAGGGCTCTCATAAGTTTACCCAACCTTCATTTCATGTGGAATTTTACCTCCTTCAGGAGAAACCTTACCTGGTTTACCAGACTGTAGCCTGTGTGAAAGGTCCTCTCCCCTAGAGCCCCGGTGGTTATCTCTGCGTGCGGTCTAACTCCGTGTGCACGCACAGGATGTTTTCCCTGTTCTGCAGCAGGGCCGGTCATCATCTCCTACCAAGGAGGATGCATTTGGGCTCTCCTGTTCCTCTCCCCACAGACATCCCTGTAACCTCCCTTCATACACTGTAGTAACCTGTTCCTGTACTGGCAAGCTGTCGGTCAGCTCCTTCAGAGGCTGCAGTGTGGCGAAGAGTGTTAATTTTTCCTTTCGGGATCAGTCCTTAGCCTTTCTGTCAAGTTTTTCATTTGTGCGATACAGATACCCAAGGGGTGCTTGGGGAGGGCGGGTTGTTGGGAGTTTGGGGAGCTCAGTTTTGGTTTGGATTTGTTTGGGCTAAACGTTTCTAGGAACTGAGCTTGTTTGCGTTTGATTAGCTCTACACATTGGGAAGCTTGATTTCAAATAGTGTGCTACGCTTTCTAAACATCGCATCATTTTCTGCCTGTTTTTCAGAAATCACGTGTGTGTCCCTGAGAATGGAAAAGACAGCTTAAGGTGCACTTGCACAATACGTCCGGATTATTTTGTGTCAGGCCTCACATATATTCTAGCTCTACAGTTCAATGGGACTGAAATGTGGAATTACAGTGTTACACCAGCCCTGGTTGGTAAGAGACTGTTTACTTTGTCACCAGGACATCTGGTTCCAGGCTTTGCAATCATAGCTAACTCCTCATTCGTGTCACTGTCACGGCTTTTCCTTATCAGAGGTGAAAAGTGCCATGCTGGCTTAAATGCAAAATCCATTTGGCTTAAAAACCCAAATCTGGAGTATATTCTTAAGGAAAAAAGTGTAAGTAATGGCGCAAGCGGAGAGTGGTTCTTGCTCTAGCTGTACCCTCTCAGCTGCCAGCCATCAGCAGTTTAGGGGGCTTAGACATGTCCTTAGTGCCTTTTACTTGTGGCTGTAGAATTCAAGGACAAAGAGGAAGGTGCTACTTCCAGTTTCTAGAAGGACACCAGGCTGTCCCTACTGAAATTTCATACATTCCTGTCTCTGTCATACTCTGATTTTTCATGCTAGTTGAATCATCCGCCTGAACAGAGATTTTTACAGTAATTGCTGTTGGATTATAACAACCAGTGATAAGTCAATGACTCTGCTCTTTCGCAGGACAGAGCACGGATGTGGTTTATGTCTGTCCGTAGGCACCTAGTTTGTTTAGAACAGTGTGCTTGTTCTTAGCACTTGTCACCTCAGACCCTCAGAGAAATCACTCATGTACCTTAGGCTGGCATTCACCTGCATCGATGAGCTGCTGCTTATCAGAACACTTGATTGCCACTGCTGCTTATCAGTGGAATAAACAGGAGCCTGCATCAGTGTCTGAGAGAGAACCAGGACAACTTGGCTGCAGAGTTGTCGGGAGCTCTGTGCCTGCCCCGCAGCACAGCGTGCTATTGGGAGGGCACAGGCTCCTGCCGTTTTTCCAGGCTGAAAGCTGCATCCAGTGCATCAAAAGGTTGAACTTCCAGTTTGTTTAGCCAGCTTGAAGATTCAGTGCTTATTAATGAATGCTTTGCAGTTGCCCTGTTTTGGCTTCTATATCCGTGTGCTACAGCATAGGGAAAAGGGCTCATTGCATTGATGGCAGGGAGATTCTGGTGACTGTTTATCTCTCTGCTTCTCTCCATCAGTGTTTTCCCATTGCCATGTTCTCCTTAATAGTATTTTTTAACATACAGTTAAGCCAAGGGCCCCCAAAAATCTTGCCATTGGGAAAGCTGAGAATGGTAATTTCAACCTGAGCTGGGAGGACAGCTACTCTCCCCCATCTATGCTCTCTGGACAGCCGGTCATCTATGAAGTGAAGTACTGGAGGAAGCAGCACCCAACAGAGGTAAGAGACAGTGGGTTTCTTCATTTTCTGTCTCTCTGGAGCTTTCAGGTTTAAAAAGTCCTTTGAAAAGTCTTGAAACCATTTCATGAATAATGGTGTAAGGGCAAGTCCCACAATGTCCCTGATCACACACTTGCCACAGGTCACGTTGCCCCAGGGTGGTTCACCTGGGCTTCAAAGGATTGACACTCTTCCGACTGCTGCCCCAAAACAGTCTGCTGCTCGCAGGAGACAGGGCGGAGACTGAAAATACAGCACCTCTGTTCCCTGAACTTCACTTGCTCCTTAGATGTCGGGCAGCTGGAGGCTGTTCATGGTGCACGTGAGGTGCTTCGAACACCCTCCTGAACCATCGGCACTTCAGGGCTGGGCTGCGTCTGGTGGAGGAAGAACATGCCCAGTAGCATGGCACAAATACCACCCCCTCATGGCAACAAAGGCAGGATCCCACACAGACATTAGGTATATGGTCCTTCATTTGTGAAAGGTCGCTGAAACATGTAACGCTACTGTTATTTAACTGCTGTCGCTAACCCTTCACCTCCTAAAGAAAAATAAAAGGGAACTTTCTCACTTCCTTTCCAGGTTTCTGTAAAAGCGATTAACTACCAGGCAAATAGCTTTGAAATTACTGCAAGCTCCTTGAGGAGAGGCTATGATTACGTTGCGAGTGTCAGGTGTAATTATACAGACTACCCAGCCTACTGGAGTGAGTGGAGTGAAGGAGTTGAGTTTCACTATGGTAAGTGTTGCAACAAGTAGCAGCTTGATAAAAGGATGGTAGAGTTGTATAAACTGCATCATATATACCCCGCAGCTCTCCTCTCAGAGGAGAGAGTTTTGGAATCATCTTCATCGTTTTGAATGTATTGTGGATGCATCTGGAAAGCCTTCCAAAGAGACTAGATGTAAAAAGGCAACTCCTGAGGAGACGGAGGATGAGGAGACCAAGGGAAGTTGTATTGTTCAGCTGTGGTGGGTTAACCTTGGCTGGATGCCAGGTCCCACCAGGCCCCTCTGTCACTCCCCCTTCAGCAAAATAAAGGGGGAGAATAAGACAAAAAACTCGTGGGTCAAGATAAAAGCAATTTAATTAAAGCAAAGGCCAGGGCCGTGCACAGAAACAAAAGGTAAACAAAGATGTTATTCTCTGCTTCCCCTCAGTAAGTGATGCCCAGCCACTTCCCGACAGTGCGCCCCAGCCACTTCCCAGGAAAGTAGAGCTTCAGTCTGTGTAGCGGCTGCTCCTGGAGACAAACAGAGGAGTGAGTGCCCCCCTCCTCCTCCCTGGCCTGGGTTTTATGGCTGAGCTGAGGTCACGTGGTGTGGAACAGCCAATTGGGGTCAGCTGTCCCAGCTCCGCCCCCTCCCCAGCTGTGTTATAAACACCCTTTAGCTGCCAGTGCAGCACTCAGCACTGGGAGGGTGCTGTGGGGATATAGACCCGATACATCAGCCTTGGGGTAAAAAAGGCTGAAAGGGGATGTGTTTGTTGTCTAAATATTTCATGACTATTTCACTAGGGAAGGAGAAGAGGTATTTAAACTAAAGAACATTGATGTAATTGCAAGTGAGTATAAATGAACAAGAGATGTTTGGGCTGCAAATTAAGCAATACTTTAACCATCAGAGGGCTGAGGGTTTACAAAAATCTCTAAAGAGCAACAGAGAGGACAAGAAGCGTAGCTGCACTGTAATGGAGATGATAATGCTGTTTAGGGACTGTATGGCAGGTTTGTCCCCGAGAGCTGACAAGTGGCCTCCCCATGCCCGTTGGCTCTCCTGGCTGCTGGCACTCACCGTAACTCACTGCGGTACCTGCACTGGCCTTTCGGACATGCCACGTGCCATTGCCGCTGCTAGCTGTGTCTGTTTATCTGCTGGAGGCTTTGTTTTACATCCTCTAAAGAAGCAGTTTTTTAAGGTGCTAAAGAAGAGCAGTGAATTTGGTATTGCCAACACTTGCATTTATATGCACACACAGGTAAGGGTGTGTGTTTATTTAACAGGTTACCATGTGACAGCTGAGGACATTCTGCAGATGGTTGTGCCTGTATCCTGCATACTGATCATGGCAGTATCAGTGATTTGTTACTTCTGTTTTACCAAGTATGTATCTCACTGTTCACAGGTTTTATAGAGTAGCAGCTGCACAGATAGCAGTGTTGCTGTTAATTATCCAAATGCCTAGTAGTGCAGGAATCTAATGTTTTATTTTTCCTTAGCACCTTTATCTCGTTCTTTATAAGCAAGCATTTTATAAACACAAATCAGTTGTATTATGTAATTTTCTGAATAGATGAATATTCTCCATTAACAAGCCCATTCTAGTAAGATTAGAGCATCCAAAACAGGCTGCAGTTATGGGGCTTGTCAGTCTTGGACTCCAGTCTTTGCTGGAGTTCCAGCAGTGATGATTAAATATCTGTATTTCTTTTTAAATTTTTTTAGTGGTAATGTGAAAGTGGGATCCTATCTGTTTTGTACATCATTTCAAACATGATTAGAAGAACATGTGATTGTGGTTGTACAGAGCAGTCACGCGCCAAACGTATAAACATCTTTGCACTAGTTTAATGAAAAGCAGCACTGGGAGATGCACAGAACCAGCACTTCCTGTTGCTGCAATGCAGATGGCAAAGAGGGAGAGAAGAACAGAAGGGGAAGTGTACACCAATGAACCCGAAATGTAGTCAAAGCAAACAGTTCTAATTCTTCCCTTGCAGAGCGAAGAAGGAATGGTGGGATCAAATCCCAAATCCAGCAAAGAGCCATTTGGTCGTAAAAAATGTCAAGGTAACTTAAAGGCTTTGCAAAAAATACCTTTTCCTGATCACCAGAAGTAGAGTGTGTAATAAGTGCTATTGTTTGGCTTGTGCAGGGGATACTAAATACAATTTGCATGTGTCCTAAATCTAATTTATATCTTTTAGTTTTCAGTTTTGTGCTACATTGATGAAATTAAGTTCCCTTTCCATGACTTAAAGCAGAGTCATACGGAAAACCAAATGTAAGTAAGATAAAGGAAGAAAAATGCTTTGCTTTACAACATAAAACAGCTTCCTGTTACATAAACATTAACTGTCCTTTCCTTTTGACTTCCAAAAACAGAAGTTGCAAGAACTGTCTGGCTCAAAGTTTGTCAAGCCAAAACTTCAAGGGAAAACATAACATCAGAAATGCTGAGAAATCCTGCAGTTGCCGCAGCAAGTCTGGAGAGTGGTTTCCAGAAGGCAGCAGTGCAGTTTTAACCCCTGAGACAATTCTGGTTGAAGAGTCTATAGAAATCTGTGAATGTATAACAGACATTGAGGCTGAGAGCCAGGAAGAGACTAGTGACCAGATCAGCATGTTTGAGCCTTGTGAGAGCAGCGTCGGTGCTTTCAGAGAGCACACTGAACACAATGATGCCCTCGCTAGCATGTTTATTGAGCTCCTGGCAGATGAAAACAACATGCAAGACAGTAAAGACCTAGACATCATCACAGGTGAGCATAAAACCTTTGAGAAACTGGAGCCAGAAAATCCATCCCAGCGAAATCCAAAAGAAAGTGCAGCCCAGAGTCAGCAGCCATGTGGTATTTCTCATACAGTCTCCCTTTTCACCAAAGCCTCTCAAGATGGCTACAATTGTAGTACAGCCAGCAAGAACTCGGAACAATTGGAAGAATCCTTTGAATCTGGCTATCAGAGCTCCAGCATAAATTCTGCTTCTCTGGATACAAAAGATCTTCAGCATATGGTTCATCAAAGCTTTTTTCCCTGCAGTTCTGAAAGTCAGCATGACTTGTGTGTCCTGATCCAGGAATCTCCAAATAAACCATCCTTTGAGACCGAAAAAGACAGAATAAGCAACTCTGCCTACAAGAGTTTTGATACCCTCGTGTCTCCATCTATGGAGCTGTGTGGCTCTGCATATAAGAGCTTTGACACCCTTATCACTCTGTCCACGGAGCCCTGTGGTTCTGCCTACAAGAGCTGTGACACCCTTCTCTCTCCGTCTGTGGAGCCCTGTGGTTCTGCCTACAGGAGCGTTGATACTCTTGTGTTTGCATTCAGGGAGCCGAGTAGCTCTGCATATAAGAGCTTTGATACCCTGATGTCTCAGTCTCTGGCTGACAGCAGCCTGACTCTGTGTTCTGAAAACGTGTGCTCCTCACTGCCTTTGACACAGCTTTCAGAGACACCAGAATTTAGCTGCAGAGATCAAATTTATCAGCCCCCTGGTAATCAGACCTGTTATACCAGCTGCAGATCTCCCTGCACTGAGCTTGACTTTCAGAACGCCTCTTCAGAACCTACCGATTTTCCATCTTTCTCTACCCATGCAAATGACAGTGCTTCAGCTTTCCTACCAGAGGAGGAAACACATAAGCAAGTAAGACACCAATCTGTTCAAAAGAAAGCCTGTGTCATTCCTTGCCCCGTTCAACCTCAATCATCTGGTTATCAACCTTTTGATAATGCAGTTACAGGTCACAGCCCCTACTGTGACAGTGAGGTTATCTCTAGGTCAGTACATGAACCCTTCATTCATCTTTTATACAACAGCCTGAGAGAAGCACCTCCAGATACACCGATCTGTGACCCTGACCAGGGGACAGATGACTGCCTGCATTTGACTGTGCAGGGCTCCGACTGCTGCGCTGCCCGGGGTTCAGCCTCCAGTGAGGATGTCACACAGACCAGCGATGGCAGCCTTTGGATTGTCAACTCTAATGAGCTTCCTAGTGATGGCAAAGATGAAAATACCAGCAGAGACAAACAGCCGTTGCATTTGTCAGAGCTGAACTTCAACAGCAGAGAAAGAACTATAAAGGGGACAAAACCTGACAGCTTTAACGATGCTGGGAGAGAAATGCCAGCGAGCAGCAGCAACAGACTAAATATTGACGTTTGCTACAACACGCGCGACCACTTGAGAAAACTTGGGAATGCAGGGGAAAGTGAAGAGGTGATAAAGCGTGCGGTAGGCAGGGGGTGTGGCTCAGCAGCCAGTTTACCAGGAGAATCACTGGACAGCATTGGACTGAACTTAGAAAGAAAAACTGCAGAGCTCCTGGAGCTCCTGGTCTCAGACAAGTTGTCACCTCTTTTTGTGAGTAGCTGCTGTTCTCCTGATCCTCACAGCAGTCACAGTGAGGGCTCCAGACTGGCTCCTGCAGTTAAAAGAAGACCAGTAGAGCTATTGAGGGAAAACAACAGGAACAACGAGAAACAACTGAAATTTGTACAAGCCCTTGCGCAGGAGGACAACTGCTACATGAAGGTAGCCTAGCCACACTTGCCAAGGCTGAACCAAACCAGTCTTTGGAAATAAACTGTATGGCGAATCGAAACGTTGGTGTTCTTCCAGTCTTGCCTGCGGTAAGGCTGCTGCCGCTCAGGTGTGGGCTCAGCGGGCTGTAATGCTTGTGCCGGGCTGGCAGCCGCTGTGCGCTGCAGACCCTGAGAAGCAGGGGGGTTGACACCTCGCGATTGCAGCCACACCACTGTCGGGGCAAAGTCAGAGCTCAAGTTTCTCTGGCCCTGGTTGCTCTCTAAAGCAGGAGTTCCTGGTACGGCTCCTGCAGCTGTTCCCTGGCTCCGTGCTGCTTGGAAAGTGCACGAGGACGGTGTGGAAGGTGCTGCTGCGCCTGGAAGTGGGATGTAGGTGCAGGTCGAAGGGGAAGCAACTGCCTTGCACTGATGGCATCACACCACTTCTGTAATTTATTTATTGAGGGGGAGGAGGGCAGGAGGGAGGTCCTGTGTCCTAGCTCCGGCATGGGGTGTGTGTTTCTACACTTGCTCAATTAAGACCTGAAATAAAGATTACTGTCATCTGGGGTTAGGCAATGCTGTTATTAATGATTAGTTTCTTATTCTGTAGAAGCAAGCAGAGTTACTTCATACTTGTACAGCTGTAAATGGGATCGGACATTTCTGAGCAATGTTTTCCCAGAAGGTTTATCCAGTTTGTGCTCAGACTCCCTCAACTGAGGGAGCAATTTTTGGCCTCTTGTTCTTGTCCAGTCAGAGTGGGAATTATGCCTGCGGCTTTAAGGCAGAATACATTTCTTGTTGGATAGTTGTTCCAAAAGTTTTACTCACACGTCTGAACTTTTCTAGGGTATTATCATATATAGCATGCTGGCAGTGGCACAAAGTAGTTAGGAACCGTTAAGTAATTTTGTATGTATTAAAATATATATGTGTATTGTCATTATTTAGAAAACCCTATTTGCATTGCCATTCATAAGGAAGGAAACCGTACTGCTAAGCACAGAAACTGGTTTAATGTGTTTTGTAAGTGAGATTTTTGTACTGCAGATCTCGGAGGTATGCATTGATCTTGCAGTGGTAAAAAAGGGTGAGTGAGTCCTGGCAGGAGACTCGCAGTGAAGTGTCTGTGTTTCGTCGTGATAGTCAGTATTTGTAGAGGCAGCGGTTTGTAGCTCACTTTCGCTCAGGTGGTGGTTAGTGAAAGATCTTACTGCTTGTAGCAAGGTGCTGATGAACATGTTATTTATCTGTTTTTACTGAAAATACCAGGTTGAATGTTATTTTCACTCAGGTGAGGTTTAATTCTATTGGAAATCCTGTTTCTTTGCATGAGGGCAGTCACTGCCGGGGGTAACATCAGCACAAGCTGTGTGAAGCGGGAGGGCTGTGAGGCAGGTGGATGAAGAGGCTTTCCAGGACCCGTCACCCACCCCCGCACTGAAATGGGGGAGCAGGAGGATGCTCGGAGGCCGCGGTCCGCCGCATGAGTAAGCTGGCTCACTTCCCTAAATCCAAGCAAAGTCAAGTTGAAGCAAAAACCCACAGCTGGTTATTGCAGCTGCCCGCAATGGATTACTCACCGTTTACTGTCATGGCACTGGGCTGTTCGGGGTCGCAGGGACACCAGGGGTGCTTTCTGCCCCCACTGCTCCTGCACTCTCCCTTGTGTGCTTGTGAAATCCTCCTGGAAAGCTTGCGCCTGGCTGGAGCAGCCAGGAGGGGTCTGCTGGGGCCAGGGTTGGAAAGCTGTTCCCTGCAGCGCTTCTCTGCTGAGCCCCAGCTTCATCCTGCCTTTCCCGGGCTTGCTTTCCTTCTGCGTAGCGACGCCCTCCTGGCTGCTCGTTCCTGTTTATGGCTTTCTGCATGTGGGTATTCTTCCCCTTCTCTCCTTCAGTATTTCTCCAGTGAAATCGAACTAACTCTGCAGGAAGGGGAGCCCTATTCTGTGCCTGTGCTGGCCCAGGGCAGGCAATGGGGTGGGCTGGGGGTGGCCAGCGCAGCCCTGTCTGGCGGCAGGCACAGGGCGTGAGGGCAGCGGGAGCCCAGTTCGCGTTCTGGCCTCTGCTGCCTCTGCCTTCGCCGTCCGGAGCCATTGCCAGGCGGTAAACCACAGGTAGTTTCGAGCGATGGGCTTCTGTCCTGAGACGGAGATGGGCCCGGAGGGGGGGAGATCTGGCTCTGGGCTGGCTCCAGCAAGGTGTCCTGTCCTGAGCCCAGCTTACCCGCCGAGAGAGGAGCTTCGGTCCTGGGCTGGGACCCTCCAGCTGTGTCCTTCTAAGGGGACAGAGAATTACTGATGGTAGGCAGTGTGTTTTCAGTGTTTTTCCGTTTGTTTTGTAGGACTGCAGTGCAAGTAGAGGCTTGTGCTAAGTTCTCGCCTCGTTACAAAGCCGTCGATTACTTGCTGGCAGTTGCTCCACGTCTTTCCCACCTGGCTGCCTACCAGGAATTAGCAACCTGCCTCACCATGCGGAAAATGGGTTCCGGGGAACAGCAGGTGTATTCCCAGCTCGGGAGAAGCTGGATCCGACACACCGCTGCTCCCGGCAGGGAATGCCGCAGCCTTGCCTCCTGTCCTTTGAGCTGAGCTGCTCCTCGGGAACAGGCACCAGCGCAGAGCAGCCGCTGGCAAAGTCTCACCAGACACAAGGTTTGTCATTGCCTGTGGACAACGATCACCACAGAGACAAGGGTAAGACTAGTACGGAGCAGGAGCTTGAGGATGTGGGGTTGAGTTCTTGAGGGTAGAGACAAGTTAGGATGAGGGAGAGGTCAGATTTTTAAATAACTCTGCATCTTGCTTTGGGACTTTGCATTGTTCAAGCAGGGTGCAAGGATATCCAAGTGCTTATCCATCAGGAGCCACAAACTTTATCTAAGAAAACAGTTCTTTTAGGTGCTGCATTCTAGCAGTGACATGGCCAAAGGAACAAAGGGTGAGAGGACCAAATGAGGGGACTGTGACTTACAAAAACCCTGCTCCCTAGTCACAGGATGGTTTGGGTTGGAAGCGACCTTAAAGCCCACCCAGTGCCACCCCCTGCCATGGGCAGGGACACCTCCCACCAGCCCAGGTTGCTCAAAGCCTCATCCAGCCTGGCCTTGAACCCCTCCAGGGATGGGGCATCCACAGCTTCTCTGGGCAACCTGGGCCACTGCCTCACCCCCCGCACAGGAAAACATTTCTTCCCAATATCTCATCTCCATCTCCCTTCTTCCAGCTCAAACCTGTTTCCCCTCGTCCTATCCCTGCACCCCCTGATCCAGAGCCCCCCCAGCTCTCCTGCAGCCCCCTTTCAGCACTGGAAGGTGCTGGAAGGTCTCCCCGGAGCCTTCTCTTCTCCAGGCTGCACACCCCCAACTCTCTCAGCCTGTCCTCGCACGGGAG